AACCATATGCCCAGCAAAGCTGTCTCTCAAATATGATGGCAACTTAGGACATTTCCTGAGAAACAGAAATTTGTAATGGCGAGACCAATTTTACAAAAATGCTAAAGGGTATTCTTTGTAGTGAGAACCCACAACAGCAGATAACAACCTGAGGTTACTGTCCATGACAACACCATCCAGAGCTCAATACATATATACAAGTATTTAAAGTAAAACCTACAAGACGTAAAAGAAGGAACCAGAGATATCAATGTATAATGAAGTTAACTACAAAATAAAGAGAGGGAATAGTGTAGATACAGAACTTACAAATGGCAAGAAAGTCAAGTAGATTCTAAAATAAAACAGACTCTTTTAAGCAGGTAAAATATTAATAAATTACCAGGAAACCCCACAGAAAAAATGCACCTGTACATCAAAATAAACAAAAGAAGAAAATCAGAAAGATTTAGTAAATATTAACACAACATAAATGAAAATGAAAAGAAAACCCTCCAAACAATAGGATGAATGTAAAGCTGATGTTCTTCCATGTAAACTATCACTCAATTCACACAAAAAAACTTAAAAAAAAAAAAACCTCCAGAAAAATGAACTCAGCCTAGAAAATTGTGTGGAACAAAGAATTCAGCAGCACCACACACACAAACAGAAACAGAAAAATGACAGTAATTAACTTATACCTATTGTTAATTACACTGAATGTAAATGAATTAAATGTATCAGTCATGAGATAGAATATAATGGATAAGAAAACAGGATCCTTCAATATGCTGTCCACAAGAGACATATCAAAAAGATGGAGACAGTCTCAATGTTCGTCAACAGAAGAATGGTTAAACAAACTTTGGGATATATACACAAAATGTTGAAGAATAATGGTGAATCTGTGAAACACCTCACAACATGGTTGAGCCTGAAGGACATTATGCTGAGTGAAATTAGTTAATCACAAAAGGACAAATATTGTGTGAGATCAATGCTATGCAATGTTTTCTGGAAAAAAGAAATTATAATGGTTATGGGTGGGGAAGGGAAAATTATTCATTGGCTACAGGGTAGACACATGTTAACATGGGTGACAGGATAGCAATACACAATAAGGGGTAAGTTAGTAGAGGAAAGATGAAAATAGTGGTAGACACCAGGATGAATGCAATAGTTAAAGTGAATAGAGGTAAATATTGTTAACTGTTGGTACATGGAGGGGATTGCAACCATGTATTGAAGCAAAGTTATGTGATTTGTTGAATGTAAAACTGATGATCTGCTGTGTAAACCTTCACTAAATAAAACTGAATAAAAAATTGAGAAGAAAGGAATCAAAGAGGCTTGGAATCTATTAGTTCCATTGACTAACTGAACATGTGAACATCCATCTCCACTATTCCAGAATTAGATGGTGCCAACTCCCTTGAAAGGGATCACATTAGAGGGTCCCAGATAGACTGGAAAAAAATGTGCAGCAAAATTATAAATTATTTACTGATAATAATAAAAAAGAATGGGTTTACTGGTTAGAAAGAGACTGGAGGAACCCAAGACTATGGTCCTTAGCTACCCTTCAAGTTTGGAAAGGAACTCACCCTTGTAGCCCAACTTTCAGCCAAACAGTAGATAGTTTTATCGGGGGTATGGGGAACAACACTAGTAAGTTATACTCCCCATGGAATGGTCAATCATTGAAAGGCAAAAGGGCAACATTTTCCTAAGGACAAAGGTGAGTAAAGATGGGAAGGTGGGAGGAATGCAAATAGGAACCACAGGGAGGAGGTGGGATAACTGTTGTTGTACAGGGGATTGTAATCACTGAGATGAAACAAAGTATATGATTTGTTCAGTGTAAAGTTGATGATCTTGTCTGTAAACCTTTACTCAATTCATAATAAAAAATGTTTTAATGTTTTTGAAAGACCATAAAAAAATAACAAAAATTTAAAACTATCTTTTATGTCAAGCATGCAATAGAAAAAGTGAGTCAAAATTAGTTTAATAGCCTCTTATTAAGCATGAGTTGCCAGAAGAAAGCATTGGTAAATGACTCTGTAAAACATTTTTTTAATTAATAGGTCTCTCTCAGTGTTACATGGCACACTTATTTTTTCCTACTTTCTCTTTGCTTTCTAATTTTATTTTTAATGTATTAGGGGCTTGACATTTTTGTCTTCAATCCCCACTCTTCCACTAAAATTACTTTTACTATAATGACCATTGACCCTCTTACACCAGGTTTTCTAGAGAACCAGAACCAGTTAAGCTCATATATGTATATAAAGAACTTTATATCAAAGGAACGACTGACACAGTTGTAGAGGGGCACAAGTCCCAAGTCCATGGAGCAGATGAACCAGGATGGGCAGGTCAGGTAGCAGGCAGGCAGGTCCGGCAGGTAAGATGGCTGTGGCTGCTGATGACTTCTAGGATCAGCAGGCAGTAGAGCAGCCCCCTGGCTCAAGTCCAAAGAACTAGAGCTTGGATGATGAATCAGATGCAGGACCCAGACCCAGAAGAAAACAAACAAGTTTTGCCTAAGTTTTTAATATATTGGAAGCATGTTACCTCTGAGGAAATTTCCTTTCAAATTGATGGTCTACTCAAAGCAGATCTCATCGTGATAGATTTAAACACAAATCATCAAGTGGATGTCTTGGGTCCACTCAGAAAATCCTTTGTTTTAGTGTTATAGAAATGTGTCAAGTATTGTGTGTAAACTAAATGCCAGACCTTAGTCAGAAACGAAGAGGCCAGTGGCAGAGATTGAGAAAAGAGCCAGAAGTACAGACTGTCAGGTAGGAATCATAAACACGGCCCTCTGAAAAGATGCGAACCAAGTAAGGGTGAGACAGCTGGATCATGTCAGTTCTCCAGAACAAAGCAAAAAAAAGTCAAGTCCTAAATTGAAATGAAGATGGATTAATGATGACTGGGTCAGGCAGACCAATAGGACAAAAGGGACATCAGAGGATTTTAAGAAATAGGATGAGAAACTGCTGCACGAAATCTCTCATAGTTATATTTGGGATCACAAGTGAAAATTTAAATTTGCTTCTATGCATAAGTTAATATTAAAGATCAGCTCTTAAATTATATATTGTAGGAGTAAGAAAATACCTATGGATTGGAAATTGAGAAGTAGCTGTTCTTCAGAAACCCTATACAACGTTGCTATAAGTCAGAACCAGTAAGACTGCAGTTAACAACAATTACAAAACATACATACAATGTTTGACAGATGCAATTGAAAGCATCATCAGACCACAAAGAGGTTTACAAACTACAGCATTTCTAATTAAAATGTCTGTCAGTTCTTTCATGAAATGATTATTGCTTTATTTCATTAAGTTTTAGAAAGATATAAAATAGTGGAGCAGAGGTGACAAAAATGCAAACCAAACAAGTTGAGATGCAGGACAAGAAGCATAATTTCTAATCACATTTCCTTCTATTACATCAAACAAATATTCATCATTTACTGCCAAGACAGGGGCTGTACTTGGAGCTGGGTCAAAGAATGTGGAAAGTACTCATTTGCTTAACTAAGATGATTAAGATATAATTATGACCAATGCACGTAAAACAAGGGAAATTCCTCAATGATATTTTTGTGTTTTCTAGGGGCAATACAGCATAAAGAAACTAAAAAATATTCCCAAATGAATAAAATGATAATGACTACTTGCTATTAGGCAACATTGATTTATTTTGACTCATAGTGACCCCATGTGACAGAGTACAACTGCCCTACCAAGTTTTCTAGGCTGTGATCTTTATGGAAGCAAGTCACCAGGATTTTCTCCTGTGGAGTTGTTGCATAGGCTTTAACTACCAAGCTTTAGTTAGCAGCTGAGTGCTTACTGTTTGTTATACTATCATGGCTTCTGAATGACTGTTTAGAATGTTTGAATTATTTTTTCTCTTATGACTACATTTTTTTTTTTAACTTTTATTTTTCACTCTTTAAATTTTCTTACTGCCACTTACCTGTCAGTTGATCAATAGTCTAAAGTTTTGCCTTCATTGAAGAGTCCATTCACATGTGGTTATTCACCAGAATATACAAGGGGACTTCAAAAAGTTCACTGAAGAACTCCATTTTAATTCCATTTTTTCATGAGCTTTTTGAAGCTCCCTTATACAGTAATGCCCTCAAAAGATTAATTTATTTCACTTGGCATAGCCTTAGACTCAACATTACTGAGTTTAAATTTGGGGGTCTAACTTTTCTGAAATAGTTGAAAATGAAAATAAAAATACCTGGATTTGTTTGCGAAGATGAACAAGCTGCCAAATTTTGTATATATCTGGATAGTCACCTGTTGTGGTTTTTGAAATATAAGGGCATAGAAAAGCAACTTACATGGAGATGCACTCAGAATCTAATTTTTTAAGATGTATTAATTTCCATTCAAAACATATAAATGTATTAAAAGACATTTACACATAGATGTATTCACTTGTTTCTCAAACAAGTGAAAATAGCCTTCAGTGTTCTGAGTTTGACAAATATTTGAGACTAAAATGATAAGACAGAACTCAAAGTTCAAAAACATCAACTCCAACAATTAAAAAGTAGCATTACTGTAGTTTACATAATATTCTTCTGGCAGACGAATGCTTATTTCAACATGACTTGCTTCAAAAAGTGTTATCTTTCACTTCTGGCCGCTGCCTACAAATGTATAAGATAATAAGTTCTGGGAACATCATATATAGAATCTTGTGGGAGAAGTGGCAGTGATGTCATAGACCCTTGTAAGGAACTTCTAGAAGTAATATTTGGTCATCACAGAGATTAAACAAGAAAGATGCATACTGAGTAAGGTGGGATCCAACAAGAGTGTAGTACAGAATGCATAAATGTATGAACTTTTCTTTTTATGTGAGAGTTTAACAGCACAACACTTAATGAAGGAATGTAAAGGCTTAAACTCCCAGTACTTTCATAATTTTTTATGATTATAGTTGAAGGTTAACACAACTGAAACTCACTATTTTTAAACATGGAAGAGAGTGATGAAACTGGTCAGCCTGTCTCAGCAGGGAGGCAAGAAATTCGAAAGAGAAGACGACCCAGCCAACCAATGATAGACAAAGCCCAGCAGACTGAAGTAACAGAGAAAAAGAAGCACATGGCCACACCACAGCCATCTGGTCCCAAAACTACCCATAGCATTGGAAATATTCCTGGAAGCAAAGTCAACTACTCTGCTAAAGAATATGAATCCTGTAGAGTATCTTCTCAACTTCAGAAAACTTGGACAAAGAGAAAACGTGGACAGGAAGTGACTGATAAATCTCTTCAGACAGATACTATCATAGAAGAGAAAAAAGAAGAAATCCATTCAGTTGGTGAATCACTGGTGCTTGAAGAAAAGTCAAATAATGTTGGGGAAGCAGTTCCTGAATTGCTAGAGAGAGTTCATGAAGTAGAAATTCCATCAAGTAAACACTCAGTTCAACTCAAAATAGACAGATCTCAGCAGACGAGTTGTACTGGAGACTGGACCATGATAAACATTCCTCATATAGAAAGAGTGGACAAGGAACAGCAGACAGACATTAGTGAATTACAGTTAATGGTAATTGGCAAACCAAGTAGTTCTTTTACAATGTCAAAGGAAGGTGACCAGTTTCAAAAATCTTCAGGGAAGATTTTTGTCAGTGAACATCCTGAATTTCAAGCAGCAACAAGTAACAAAGAAGATATGAGACAGGACAGTATCAGCAAAGCTTTATCTAGTCAGTCAACCCAAAAAGGTACTCCAGTACTTATTTCAGAAAATGAAGCTAGGAGTGTTGTAGGAGAGGATTCTTTTGTTGATTTAGAAGAAACTTATACTGAACTTCAGCCGCCATCAGTTGATGACGTCACTGTAGAAGTACAACCTCTACTGGATGAAGAGATTGCTGCAGAAGAGCTTGCTGCTACAATAGAGCCCATGACTACTGAGGAGGCCCCTGTTGAATTTCAGCTTCCCCTAGTTGAGGAGACATCAGGTGAACTTCAGTGTCTACCAGGTGAGGAAACTCTGGCAGATGTGATCCCTGCTAAAGTAGAGCCTTCCCCAGCCGAAGAGACTCCTGTTGAAGACAGTACTCTTGTTGAAGAGGCCCCAGAAGAAATACATTCTCCACCAGCTGAAGAGACTCCTGTCAAAGAGAGTACCCCTGCTAAAGAGGCCCCAACTGAAGAAGTTTCTGAAGAAGAGGCTGCTGCTGAAGAAGAACCTACACCTGCTGAACTTATTGAACTTCAGCTGCCACCAGGTGAGGAGGCTCCTTTAGAAAAACAACCTCCCCCAACTGAAATGGGACTTGCAGAAGAGGCCCCCGATGAAGTTCAGTCTCCACTAGCTAATGAGGCCCTTGCAGAAGAGTCCCCTGCTGAAGCTCAGTCATCACCAACTGAGGAGGTCCCTACAGAAGAGTCCCTTGTTGAACGTCAGTCTCCTCTAACTGAGGAGACCCTTGAAGAAGAGTCCCCTGCTGAAGGTCAACCTCCATCACCTGAAGAGACTCCTGCAGCTAATCAGGCCCCTGTAGTAGAGGCCCCTGCTGAATCTCAGTCTCCATTAACAGAGGAGAACCCTTTAGAAGTTCTTGAAAAAGATGTGTCAGCTGAAGTTCAGCCTCCATCAGCCGAGGAGGTCCCTGTAGAAGAGACCCCTGCTGAAGTTCAGCTTCTACCAACTGAAGAAGTAACTGAAGAAGAGCCCCCTGCTGAACTTCAACCTTTAATAGGTGAGGACAAGGCCCCTGATATAGTTCAGTTTCTACAAGCTGAAGAAGATTCTATAGAAGAAACCACTGATGTAATTCATTCCCCAGTAGCTGAGAAGACAACTGCAGAAGAAAAACCTCCTGAACATATGCCTCCATTAGATGAGGTGGCTCTTGCAGATGAGGCCACTGATGAAGTTCAGTCTCCACCAGCTGAGGAAGCTTCTGCAGAAGAGACATCTGTTGAAGTCCAGTCTGCACTAGTTGAGGTTTCTGCAGAAGAGGTCCCTGTTGAATTCCACTCTCCATTAGCTGAGGATGTTTCTGCAGAAGAAATTCCTGCTGAAGTTCAACTTCTACCAGCTGGAGAACCCCTTGAAAAGATTCCTGTGGAACTTCACCCTCTAACAATTAAAGAAGTTACTTCAGAAAAGGTACTTGTTGATAAACAACAACTACGAGCTGAGGAGGACCCTATTGAAAAGTTTGTTCTAGAAGAGACTACTGATGAACTTCATCCACCACCTGTAAAAACTCCTGACAAAGAGACTCTTGAAGAGGAAATGCCTACTGAACTTTCATTTCCCCAGGCAGCAGATGGTCCAGTGGTAAAATTAGATTCACCTGTTTTGGAAGGGATTTCTAAAAATGAAGAGACGTCTATAAACTCTTGAGTCTTCAAGCATAGACCCTGTTCCTGAAAATAGTCCCAATAAGAATGAAACAAGTTCTACTATTGATATAGACGGTGTCATCCACATAGCAGTAAAATAAGAAACTCTTTCTTAGTCATAGGAAGATCTTAACTAAGCTAGAAACTAGATGCTAGTGAGTTCTGGATGTACATTTTTAGGAAGGGTAGGCATTCGAAGTAGCTTTGTGAATAGGAAAATAGAAGAAAACCCCAAGGCTTGGAGTGCACACTGGAAAATGAATAAAAACTGTAGTGGTTTATAATTTCTTCTGTTATTATCTTTGAAATTTAAGTGTGTAAAATGCCTATTTTGAAATGAAATAAGTTTATGATTCAAATCATTAAAATATACTTTATACATTAAATTCTTCTTGACAAGAGTTGAGTCTATTTGGCAGTCATATTTTCTAATTTCTGTCATTTCTAGAAGTACATGTAGCTTAGAAGGCTATTTTCCATAGTTCTCTCATTTACTGTAAATTTTTTGAGTTTTAGTTGCAAATGTAAAGCGTTGTAATTCATCATATTTCTTTTTCTTTTTCCATCTGATTCCTTCTGAGACAAGCATTTATTTCCTGGTTTCAACCCAAATGTTCTTGCCTATCCCCTCATATATTTTATATTTCAATGTGTAGACAAGGAAATTTGTTGCTTTTGTAGTTAAATCCAGATGGCCATAATGAACTATTGAAAAAACCATGTGTAAATATAAAGAAAAATAAACTTAGAAATTTATACTTGTATATTCTTGAAGATACATTTTTGTTTAGTTTTAATTTCACTTGAAATTATAATATGCATCCTCTAGGAGTCTGATTTATGTTTTGTGCACTCTGAAATTGTGCTGAAGAGAAAGTTAGAATGAAGTTAAATAAATTATTTTAATATAAGCTATGTGTGCTCTGTGTGCTATGTGTGATGCTGTAGGATAAGCACTGCACTGACAACCACAAGGCTGGTAATTCAAGCCTATCAACAACCCCATACATAGTTGCTATGATTATAATTCTAATTATTCTAAGGTCTGTTATTACAAGTTTTGTTTTGTTGTACATAGGGCTGGTAGTCAGAATAAACTTTATGGCAGCTAACAACACATGGTTATAAAAGGAGCACTGGTGGAGGGGACAACACTTGCAAGGTATGCTTACCATGGAATAGTCAATCATTCAAAATCAAAAGGGCAACATGTGACTAAGGACATAGTTGAGAAGGGATAGGAAGGTGGGTAGAAGGCAAATAAGAACCCAAGGGAGGAAGCAGGATCACTGTTGTTGCATGGAGGGAATTGGAATCATTGGGATGAAACAAAGGATATAATTTGTTGAATGTAAAGGTGATCATCTTGTCTGTAAACCTTCATTCAATTCACGATAAAAAGTTTCAAAGAAAGGAGCTCTGGCAGCACAATGGTTAAACACTCAACTGTTAACTGAACGGTTAGCAGTTAGAATCCACCCACTGCAGTGGCTCTTCGGAAAAAGATCTGACAATTTGTTTATGTAAAGATTAGAGCCTAGAAACCCCTATGAGGCAGTTCTACTGTATCACACGGGGTCGGCATGAGTCAGAATCAACAACAGCAAAAACATGGTTGGTTATGGAAAGTTTGGGGTATACATATTGTCTAGGTACAAATCAGTTGTAATGTGTTGAAATGTTGAGATTGTTGTTAAGTGTTGTGGAGTTGATTCTGACTCATAGCGACCCTGTATAAGGATTTGAACTACCAATTTTGGGGTTAGCAATCCAGTACTTATTCTACAGCCCCCCACCAGGACTCCATGTTGAGGGTATTGTCTTAAAAATCTTAATTTTGTCAGTTTATTCCTCTATTAAGTGATAATTCTAGATTAATTATTCTAAATCTTTGTTAAGTTTAATGTTCTATAATAAATTTTCATTATGGTCATTATTTCTGAGGCCAAGTGCATGTGTTATGTAAATTAGCTTTTGAGAGTTTTATAACAATATTTTTAAAGAACACTTATTCAGGTATGTGATAAGGCCTAAAAACGTTATTCTATACGAATTAGAAGGAAGTTGTCTTTTTGAAATTTCCACTTAGCTGCCTGAAACACAAAAAATTTAAACTCCTTTCTCTAAGTTTTAAGGTTGGTTTTTTTTTTCCTACATTTGATTTTCTGTTATGTCTTGCTTTCTTTGTAAAATCAGAAGTTATATGAAAATTCAGAATGGCATTCACCATAGAAAGAGAACATGTTTTTAATAGTGATGATATTTGGTGGTGGTGGCGTGCAGTGGAGTCGCTTCTGACTCATAGTGACCCTGTACAGGGTTTCCGAAGCTATAAATCTTTACAGGAGCAGAAAGTCTCTTCTTTCTCCTGTGTTCCAGCTGGTATTTAGCAACCAGCAAAATGATAGGTCTTTCAACCCTTAAAAGTTGGATGTTAGCTGAGGCTGAGATGAAGCATGTGGCCTGATTTAAGTGTGTTCAAATAGTAAGCACATGTATTTGGTCAAGTCATAATTAAGAAGAGTTGGATATGAAAATTACTGCAGGAGTAAGTAGGTAAGAAAATTTAGATCATGGAACACTGATCTAAATAGAAAGTTTTAAGTAACAAATTCTTTTGAATAACTAGAATATAGGGTAATTTTTAAAACCGGCTATTAGGAAAGATCCCAAGAGTGTTGAAACATACAGGTTAAAGCATATGTCAGATGCAAAAATAATACCAGATGACTAACAGTGGAATTTTAAAATATAAGATATTTTATAAACAAGTTTTCTGAAGTATAATATGCATACAATAAATTGCACATACTTAAATTCTACTAGGTTCGTGAATATGGTTTTCTTTCCTGTAATATCTTCCTTTGATTTTTTTTATCAGTCTAATGGACTGAACTGGGCAACGTTTCATCTTCTTTATTTTTCCAGAAGACCTTGTACAGAATTGGTAATAGTTCTTCCTTAAATATTTTGTAGAATTCAGTGGAGAAACTTGGACCAGAAATTTTATTTGTGGGAAAGTTTTTAATTAAAAATTATATTTCTTAGAAGACATAGTCCTATTTATGTTGCTTGTTTTTTATGGGTGAGTTTTGGTAGATTGTGGTTTTCAAGAAATTTGTTCATTTCATCTAAATTATAGTTTATTTGCATAAAGTAGCTGATAACATTTCTTTGTGTCTCTCTACGTCTGTAGTATCTATAAGGACATTTTGTCTCTAGTTATAATACTGGTAACTTGTGTCTTCACTCTTTTTTTACCCAGTTCAATCTAACTTGAGGTTTACCAGTTTTATTGATGTAAAAACACTTGGCTTTAAGTTTCACAGATTTTTCTTTGTGTTATTTATTTATTTTCTGTTTCATTGATTCCTATCCTTGCTCTTTCTCCCACATCTGCATCTACTTATTTATCTAGTCTTCCTTTTCTAAAATCCTAAGATGGAAGTTCAGGACATTGTTTTGTTTTGTTTTTCTGATATAGGCCTTTAGTGCTATACATTTCTCTCTGAGCATTTTTTAAACTATGTCATATGAGTTTTAATATGTGTTTTCATCTTCATTAAGTTATATTACTTTTTAATTTTCTATTTTATTTATTTATTGAATCTGGATTATTATATTTGTTGTCAAGCGTGTTGAAATTGGTTTTTACTTATGTAATGACCCTGTGTAGGGTTTCTGAGGAGTGGCTGGTGGGTATGAACCACTGACCTCATGGTTAGTGGTCCAGTGTTCTTTATCTGACCGTGCCACACAAGGATCCCATAGATTATTTAGTATTGTGTTATTTTTTCCCAATTATTAGAGGTCTTTCCAGGCTGTTTCTTTTTGTTGTTATTGATTTCTCATTTGATCCCTTTTCTCCTCCTAGAAAATGCACTTTATTACGATTTGAAGTTTAAAAAATTTGCTGAGACTTTGTTTATGGCCTGGCATATGGTTTATGTTGGTAAATGTTCTGTGCTCTTTGAAAAGAATGTATATTATGTTCTTCTTAGCTTGAGAGTTGTATAAATGTTCATTTCAGAATCAGCATTTGGTTGATAGTGTTGTTCAGATCTTCTGTATAGTTACTGGCTTTCAATTTATTTGTTTTGTAGATTATTAAGAGTGGTAAGGTGAAATCCTGACTATAACTGTGTTTTTTTCTTTTTCTCCTTGAAGCTCTATCAGTTTTTGGTTCGTATATTTTGAAGCTCTCATATCAATTACATAAATATTTAGAATTATTATGTCTTCTTGATAGTCATATTATCTCTAGTGGTAGACTGTTCTCAGAACCATTGCCACTCATTCAGTTTCGAGTCCTCTTATTCTGTGCTTTGCTCAATGTAACCATTACCTGCTTTTCTTTCATCTAAATAATTTTCTCATTGTTTACAGAATTATGATCTTCTCCTACACTGATTTGCCTACAGATAAAATCCACATTTTGTAAAATTATAATCATGGCCCTTTACTTCTACTCCAACGTTCTTTCTCTCACCCTCATTAATTATAGGATGGTGATGTGAAATGACGTTGACAGTATGGCAGCCCGACTTCACCACTTATGAACTGTGCGACTAGTTCAGGTTGAATAACTGCCCTGTTCCTCAGTTTATCCATTGTAAACGATGAGTTTTTTAACAAAATTTAGCCAATAAGATTGTTGTTATTAAGTGCCGTTGAGTCAGTCCTGACTTGTAGCAACCCTTTATAGGGTTTCCAAGGAGCAGCTGGTGGGTTTGAACTGCCGACCTTGTGATTCAGACTGGCCTGTGGTCCTGTGCTTATCCTACAGCACCATATCTGCAAATAAGATTATTTGAATACAAAAGAGTTAATCTCCATTAAGTACTTAGGACAGTACTTAGTAGACAGTGAATGATAAATGATGAAAGCAGCTTTCATGGATATTGCATTTCAGTTCTTGCCAAACCTGACAATGGTTGCCATACATCAATGCCTCTTCTTCATTATGTTTTAGCCATTTGTATCATAGAGGTTATGATTATT